TTCAGCAAGCAACGGTGCATCCGATCAAACGGCACCGCAAGAGTTTCCATCGTGAAACATCAAATCAACATCGCCGGAAACGAATTCGGCACCGGCGGTGGCATTTTGTTTTTCCGACGAAACATTTTGGCACACCTGGTGGGACACGTGTGTTTGACATAGCTCTGCGACGAGGAAAAGAAGATTGTGGTCTTCGACAAGGATCCATGGCGGAGGCTCAAATGGTCAATATCGAGATTGACGATGCTGTTGGCGGTTCAAGCAACAACGCTGGAGCAAAGGTGCAATCAATGGCACGAATCTCCGATCAGGGTGAGATGCTGCTCATACTCCGCCAAGTAGTGGCTGAACTCAACAGAGATAGCCAACAGGTAAATATCATTTTAACTTCTCTTGATAAAAAAATGGATAATCTTGAAAAAAATATTGATCAATGGTGTGATAAATTGGATAATTGTGTTTCTGATTTTAATATGTCAATACGTAGAGCCACGTACGATTTTGATGTGTTTAAATCTGAAACGATGTCTGTTGCGTGCGATGATTTAATGGTTGATGGACTAACCATTGTCAACCAAACTCTATCGCCAAATCTGGCTACAATAGTGTTGCCAGAAGCGTACAAATCCAAAGTGTCTCTTCCCGTGAACAACATTGTTCTTAAGGACACGCAAGTTGGAGGTGGCTTGCAGAAACCACCACAAGAAGCCAGTATCAACGTACTTCTAATAAGAATGAAAATAAGAATCAGGGTGGAGAACCTGGCTACAAACACGTTGAGCATGGAAAACTCACATATGATGTGTTGTCAATCCAACGTCACGATGATGTTCGATCTAAACCGCTAGGGGGGCATGAGATCCCACTGCAAGGCGGGTTGAAGGAGAAACAATATCACAAGTGGCGAAGCAGTTTGCCACATCCACCCTGTTCTAGGAAAAATCATATGTGGGTTGCCACAAACACTATTCAATATGGAGGTGGTGATCACGTGAAAACCCCCAAGGCCACGAAAGTTGGTGTAACTTACCTAGATCCTTCGTGTAAGTTGTCCCCAAAGCCGCCACCGAGTGAAGTGGGGGGCAAGTTCAAGCAAGCCCGACATGGAGTTGCCACACCAGTGTCGAGGAGGAACAAGTCTGCTATGAATGGTGGATTGGGGGGCAAGTATAATACTCTACAAACTCCAAAATCACACGGGAGCTCAAAGGAAACGATGTGGATGTGTGGTAAGTGTCGTGGTAAACAAAACACCCACACACTTGTCGGTGAAGCTCGTAAGCATCGGTGCTTATACTCACAGCAACATGGTGAGAGTGTGAAGCTGACAAAACCAGACCTGTTTGGGCAAGCAATGCCATATGGTCGACTTGGTAAGACAAAGGTGTCAAAAAACGTGAAGGTCTTGCCTGGAGCCAAGAACGCATATGATTTTTCATTCCGCGAGGCTGAGATGAGACCAAATCAGGCTCGTGGAGTTTCGAACAAAGGCGTTCAAGCTGAACAACCTGGAGAGGTGCAAGCCAACATTACTCCCAAAACATCAAAACCAACATGTGTGAAGCCAACAAGTCAGGGTATTTATGGATGGCTTGTTTGGTTTGATCAGTGGAGTTGGCAGTGGGTGTGGATTTTTGGCATGATGGTTTATGCTAAAGCCAACCCTGTTTTTGTTTAGATATTATTAAAATAAATAAATATGGCTATTTAAGCCACATATTGTCTAGAAAATTTAATGAAAAAAAATAAACGGCATTGCTGAGCTTGCCGCAGCATTGTGGGGGGGGGGGGGGGAAATCACAGTTGGCCTTTTAATAGACAAGTAAAAGCAACGTTGAGGTAAGTGTAAACGACACTGGCTTGGCCAAATTTTATTTTATTTATAAAAAAAAGCTGGAAATACATTATCTGTATGGCCGCATATAAAAAAAATTATGCAGCTCTGCCGCTGTTGCAAACGGCTCTGGCGGAAAATTATAAAAAAAAATATATGGCAGCAGCGCTGATGAAAATAAATAAAAAAGAATTCCAGTTCTGCCGCAAACAGCTCTGGCGGAATTTTAAAAAAAAAAAAAATAAATAGGAGGGCGGCCAAAACAACGCTGCGAGAGAGAAAAAAAAAAGGGGAATCAGCGCTGCGGCCAAACAGCTCTGGCGGGGCGGAAAAAAAATTTTTAATAATAAATAAAAACAGCAGGCGGCCTAACAGCCCTGCTAATAAAAAAAAAAGAAATTAAAAAAAAAAAGAAGGTTTCCCAGCGCTGCAGCTAGCAGCCCTGATTATTAAAAAAAAAAAAAAAATTTATACAACAATAGGCCGCCAAACAGCCCTGATTAAAAGGAAAAGGCGGACTCCCAAGTCCCAACGCTGCTTTGCTGTTTCGAACAGCCCTGAAATATATATATATATATATATATATATATAATAAATAAATAAAAAAATCGTCATGCCACTGATCCGCAACATTGGGAAAAAGAGACTTATGGCCAATAGTGGGATTGGCAAAGTTTTATTGCCATACACGGAGTCGAGGAGTGATATTTTTTGCCTCAACACAGATGTGTGGTACAATCGAAACAATTTTAGGTGATTGAGATTTGTCAACAATTATGTTCATAATTCTTAATAAACCAAATTGTGGGGGCATTTGTTGACACCTAAAATTAATTTGGCCGGAATTAAATGCCGCATTAATTAGTCTCGGCATTTAAGACGATACCGTGGGTAAAAAACGGTGTCGTTGGGAGTTGAGCAGTGTCGCGGAGAACTAAAACGGTACCGCAAGGAATCTCAACGATACCGCAACGCTGGAAACGACACCGCTTGCCGAAAAATAAAAAAAGAGGGTCGTGTGTTTAATGGGGTTGAAGGAGGAGTCTTTAATTGTTTAATTATTATTTTTTATTCCTTGTGAGAAGCGGCACCGCGGGGAGTTAAAACGGTACCGCGAAACAGAAAAACTGGTACCGCGAGGAAGTTCGGCGGTACCGCGGAACTGGAGAGGGGCCCCGCAGTGTAGGTGTTGGGGAAGGAGTTTTGTTTATAATTAATTAATATTTTTATTCCTTGTTGGAAGGGGAAAATCGGTACCGCATGGAGACAAGCGGTATCGCGGAGAGTTAAAACGGTACCGCAAGTAGGCCCAACGGTACCGCGGATTAGCAAACGATAGTGTTTAATAATAAACAGTGTCGCGGAAGAAAAAACAAACGGAGCTGGTTGGGAAAGAAAACGACACCGCAAGGCTGGAAGCGGAGTCGTTTAATGTTAAAACGATGTCGCGGGTAGAATCAAGCGGTGCTGCTCAGTTAAAAACGACACCGTTTAAGGCATCAACAACGCCACAGTATCACTAAGCGGTGTCGTTTAGTTAAAAACCATACCACAATGGTTTGGATTTTGGCGAGGCCTGGCAAGCACAACGGTGCCGTTTGGTTGAAAAAGAAACAATGTCGCGGAATGGAAAACGACATTGTTTGTCAGCATCGATTAGTGAAAGGTGAGGCCGCGGTATTGGTGAAATGACATCGTTGCATGGACAAGGTTGTAGGATTTGGCTCAATGTCGTTTCGCCAAGTTTCTGCAAACAGGAGCGGTTTCGATGGCACGTGATTTTTACGCAAAGCAGAAAGAGGAGATCAAGGCAGTTGAGACACGTGGGATTTCACAACGGAACAGTTGAGGAAGCGGTTCCACCGAGCGTGAAGGCTACGAAGCAGTTTTTCGAATAAAAGCAGTGGAGCAAGGAGAGAGAAAAGACAACCACAAATCAACACAGATCAACTCTGTTCAAACTTTACCTTTTCTCTGTAACTCCTTCGCGGAGCTCTCCTTCCAGGAAGGATCTCCATAGTTGTAGTCTTAGTCGTAGTCGCGGAGCTCTCCACAGGAATCTCCATAGGAGTAGCGGTAGCGTAGATTCCTCAAAAACTCAAACACCCTCGTTCGAACGTAGTTTGGAGAGGTGCGAACCGTAGTAACGGTCGCGTTGGTTAGAAATCAGAGGTGAATCGATTAAATCAACGACGCCGACATTCGGTGGCGGATATTTGACGGTCACGTCGATTTCACCATTCAGAGGTGCATCGATCAAATCAACACCGCCCGGTGGATATTTGACGATCGTCATCGATTTCAGCAAGCAACGGTGCATCCGATCAAACGGCACCGCAAGAGTTTCCATCGTGAAACATCAAATCAACATCGCCGGAAACGAATTCGACACCGGCGGTGGCATTTGGTTTTTCCGACGAAACACCTTCCCTGTTATCGAATTCTTCAAAACACGCCAGTATAATTAACAGCGTCCACATGCTGGTCACCATTTCCTACACTAGTCCGGCCAATACAATGAAAAAGTTGAATCCAACATGAATATAGAACCAATAAATAAAGCTCGCAAGTGACCGTAAAACAGAAACTTGTAGCATTGTAAGAACCCGCTCACAAATATATTATCTCTCAAAAAACGTTGAGTTTTTCCACAAAACAAAAACGCTACAATAGTGATCATCACCTCAGCTACCGCCGTACGACAATGGACTCCATAATTAATCAAAATCCACACCTATAAATTGGCTATGAAGACAGATTGTGTCTACCATCCAACAAAACAAAAGCGCAGAAGCATTAATAGTTCAGCAAAGTAGAAAATATCATAGCAATGGCTTTCCATTCCCACTCCGTATCTCACAAGGTGATTTTCTGGGCTTTGGTGATTGCTGTTGCTGCTGTTGCGATCACTCCATCGGCCGTTCTCGCCACGAAGATAACCGTTGGTGGAGACAAGGGCTGGACGAAAGGCTTCGATTACCAGGGTTGGGCACAGAGCACCAAATTTCACGCAGGCGACAAGCTTTGTGAGTCATACCAACTACTAAATCCATTTTTTGATTCGTTTACTTCTCTCGACCCTTTGAGATAGCTATTGAAATGAATTTGATTTTTTTTTTTTAAATATAATTAGCTCACATAGTCACATTAACTGTCACGAGTCTTAATCACAGTTTTCAAGTACCCGAAGGGCGTACACAATGTGTATAAGGTGAACCAAAAGCAGTTCCAGAACTGCGACATCGCATCGGCCACGAAGAAGTACACTTCTGGAGGGGACACCATTACATTAAAGAGCGGAACAAGTTGGTTTATCTGTGGCGTAGGAGATCACTGCAGGAATGGTCAAAAGCTCGTCGTCAATGTCAATTAAAGCTCAAGTACTGTACTGCTGATCAATTAAAGCATCCACAAATCGTTTGGATGTCATTGCGGCCGACGGGAAGATCGATCGTTTGCGTTAAAATTTGCTTGTGGTTTTGAAAGGAAAAAAAAAAAGGAGTAGCACAAGAAAATGCCATTTTTAGGCAATAATAAGTAAGCTACAAAATTTGCCATGTGATACTACTTAACTGGGTTTTAATTTGAACTTGTACTTTCTTTGAGAGTATGTCTTTCATTTAATGCAAGGCTCTTATACCAGACTTTAATTTGACCGCCAAATCCATATTATCATCATGTATCCTTCTGAACATCTGACAGAATTAGAACAATATAAAAAAAATATTAGTAGATTATAATGATTTTACACTAGGTTCATCCAAAACAAGGAAATGAAATTACTGCAATGGAATAATCAGGTGAACCAAAGGCAGTTCGAGAGCTGCGACTTCGCATCTGCCACAAATAAGTACACTTTTGAAGGAAATACTATTACATTAAAGAGTGGAACAAGTTGGTTTATGTGTGGTGTAGGGGATCAAGTAAGGATGGTCAGAAGCTTGTGGTCAATGCGAAGTAAAGCTCAAATACTACTGATCACTGATCATTTCCACAAATAGTCTGAATGCCGTTGCTTGCTGGAAGAAGAAGAAGAGTACGTGGCACAAGAAATTGCCATTATTTGGCAAATAATGAATAAGCTACAAAATTTATGATGCCGGGGTTTTGATTTTGAAACTTGCAATGTGTGTGACGAGCCATCGAGGTATGTCGTGTAGTTGTCTTCTTTTATACAAAGATTTTAATTTTAGGGTAATGTCTATTTTTTATTTAATTTTTTATTCAATTTTTATATATTATTCAAATTTATTAAAATGCTATTAATTAGCCAAATCTTTCGTAATGCATCAAAATATTAGACATTTTTACATTATCGTTAATAATTTTGTAACTTTTTTCTTAGTTAAAATACTAAAATTTGTAATGTTGATCTCCCAGTGTCTCTTCCAAGTTAGTATCATGTTGACAAGTCAATATTACTAACAAAATTGCTAACTAAAAGTTAACATTTGGCTAATTCTTAGTATTTCCATAGGTTTGGATAATATAAAAAAATCTAAAAAAAAGTTTGGATAAAGAATAGACATTACCCAAAATCCTTAATTTTATTACGAGAGGCACATTATTGTCATATATTATACCTGACAAAATGTAACAATATTATAAATAAATATATTAAAAGATTATAATGATTTCTCCCTTGGTTCATCCAAAACAAGTAAATGAAGGAATAATCATGTGAATATTCCGCTAATTTATTAGTTTATCTTTTCATCCCTCTTCCCTCTAGAATATATAGCGCTATTTCAGGAGATTTTGAGCATTTCAAATTCCTTGCACTCTTCTTAATTGTAACTAGGGTAAATTTGTAAGTTCAACTTAGAACTTAAATATCTTCTTACGGGGAAAAAATGTCATTATAAAGACTTCAACTCGAGTCCTTCAGACTGATAGTCAATATCGCTAACCAACTAGACTACAACAATGTTTCTGACTTTCTGTATTTTTTGAATTAAAGAGAGAAAATACTGAAATATCTCAAAATCATAGGACTATCCACCACAACAATCAATCATCGAATTAATTAATAAATGTAATTATTTACAAAGTGAATCATCATGATATAGCTCGCTTTATGAATCAACTAAGTGAGTTCCTCTAATCACACAATTCTTCACCAAGAATCAAATAGTACATTTTGAGTTTATGTCTTACAACTTTTACATTTATTAGGTTACATGACTCTGAAGGAATACAAGGATTGTTTACAAAAGTGCTATACAAAATTGTATTTCAAAACATAAATTTTGACATTTGTGATCTATGGTTTTGTAACGAGACATTTTCAATGCTATAAGTGAATGACCAAAAATCATTGGCTAACAATTTCCCTAATGGTTGACAATTATAAGCATAGAGTTGAAAGACTAAATACCATTGACAAATGAGCCAATTATCATTGGCTAAATTTAACAAACAATGGTATGTGTATATACATTGGAAATTCTATGGTACGCTCGATGGATTGAGGGTCATTGCATCTCCTTAGTTAAATAACATTATCTAGACCATAGATTAATCACGTAACTAAATCCTATATCATAATTCTCTAAATTCTAATATAGTGCATATGGTATGTTGTATACATCTTGGCGAATCAGAATCATTGATTATGTTCTTAGTGTATGTGATATTAGGTTTTAACTTCTATAGATTTAGGATATATGATTCAATTATTTGAAACTTAAACTCTCTTTTCAAATTTCTTGCAATGAGAGGGAAATTAGAAAGGACATTTTTGTCTTTACAATTATCTGTATTTTTTATTTATTTACAGAAACAGATAGACATATTGAGATTTGAACCATGGTCACTTCAAACAATATTTCATTTTAAATTAAAAATATATACGAAGCTAAAATATTAAATCACATAACTTTTCAACACTTAGCTAGCCCAATAAATATTCTGTAAGTACTATTTGGTGTTTTGATACTTTGATTTTGATATTTTTTTATTTTAATTATAGTTTAATATTTTATTTTAAATTTTATCTATCTTATAAATAGACGATAACCATAAATTTGCAACCAAAATATTGTTGGTTCGAATATATCATATCGAATTATAGTATTGAATATGTAGAAGCAGCATAGAATTCTTAAATTACCATTAATTTACAGAACTATAGTGAAGCAATCATATCTTTGTGCAAACTATAGGAGACTGGTTCTCTAAACATTTTTGTCCAGTTAAATATTAAGTTTTGAAACTCTCCTAGGGGTGTATGTGGGTCGGTTCGTTTGGGTTTAGATATTTTAATCACCTAACTCATATACCACAATTTTGAAAACCCTAAATACAAACTCACCCAAATAATTTAGAATTTTAATGGTTTGTGTCCTCCATACCAAATGAACCAATTTACATGTCGCTTAACTAAGGACGATCTCACTTTCCAATCCCGTCATTCTAATGTCAATCCATAAAAGTAACCCATATTCGCGTTTGTTAACACATGTTTCACATTTTCATTACTGTGGTCGGTAACTTTGCTGCAACTGATTCGGTATTGCTCATCATATGGCCTCCAAACTTATAAACATATCGGGCCAGCAGTTTTATGACAAAACTCAAAGTGAAGACAACTCATCGTATGGTGGAATTTTGGCGCTTGCTGGTGTCCATTAATCTAATTGCAAGCATAATGATTACTACAATTAAGCTTTCACGCAACACACTAGGAGTTGGGGGTGTGAACTTGGAGTAAAAGTTGATATTGGGTTTGGGAAGGGAAGTGGTGAGAGGAAGAAATTGTGTTTGGATTTGGTAGCAGGTAAAGTTCATGGTTCGGTTTCTTTTCGTAAAATGCTTTGATTTATTTTAGTTAGAGGTATAATATCATGGTTATGTGGGATCAAATGAAGTAAAAATGAGCTTGAGGGATGGGAATTCCAACTTAGAAGGAGTGGATTAGATTTTGATAAACTCAAGTTTATGATTAACTGAAATAATATTTAGATTTAGACTTTGTGGTATTGAGATGTACATAGAGAGTTTAAAACTGATCAAAGGCCATGGATTGATATTGGTTAGTTGATTGTGATTTTGAGGAATGTGTATAAGAAGTTATGGAAGTAGTTTGCATGAATTGAAGGCAGTAAAGAGGCAGTTGGTCAGGGTAGTGATTGAACCAAAGAGGGTATTGAAAGACATAAGCAAAATCGGAGCAGTTAAAGAGAGAGAAGTGGTAGATGATCAGGATATTAATGAAAATAGAGAAGGTATTGAAGGGCATGGAAGTGAACTGGATCATGTGAAAGCATAGAAGGAGGAGAAGAGCATATTGATGGAATTGAATATGAGTGTTGGTTTTACGAGCTTATTAAAACTAGCCCGAGGAAGATGAGTTGGCCAATACAAGAAAGAGAATTGAGAAGTTGGAGATCAAGCTAACAAGAAACTCAATTGAAAGAGAAATTCAGGTTCATGGAGAGAAGGTCCATCAAAGTAGCATATATGGAGTTGCAGAAGGAGGATTGGAAATTGAATTTTTGTTTAAAACATATACGTCGAGAGATTGAAGATGGAGGGGATAAAAAGTTGGTTGTACAACGGAGAGTGGAAACTATTGGATCTATAGGCGTTATGGTTGTTGCAACTACCACCACCTATGTTTATGTTAAAACGAGGAATCATTGATTGATTTACTAAAGTTAAGGTCGATTCACTATTCAAACTAATTAAACCTATAGTTAAGGAGTGTCTAATTTTGTGCCTCATTACTTTGATCGGGTCTATTAGTATATTGAATGTAACTCTAATTTTGTCATTTGCTCTCAAGTTTTGATGGTCTCCTTTTAGTTGAGTTGTTAGCATATGATTTACTTGAATCAACAACTCTTCATTTATGTTTTTTTTAATAAATTCCTTTCTTTATAATTAGTGGCATGTTATTCATAAAGGAGAGTTTTGAACCATTTATGTGGAATTGTGAGGTTTCATTTCAGTTTCAAACTATCTATGGATCGTGTGGGAATTCCGATGAGCTATTATATATTTCTGGACAATCTTTTAACCAATATCATTTTAATGTGGGCTCAATTATCATTATGAAAATGGGATTAATGATACATTTTTATATTCTTAAATGAGGAGGATATTTCCCTGAATGTTCGATCTATATATTCATTCTTTATGTAGCATCTCGATTGAATGATTTTCAATAAACTTAAACGAATTAATAGACTACATTCGTCCTTAGGTCAATCGTTTCAAAGAAACATGTCTATACAAATAGAAAAAGACATTTGTAGCGTCCCGTGAGTTGCTGTCAGAGCTCTAATTCATCATTTAACCCATTCTTCACACGGAATCTCTTTATATAAGTGGGTAGAAGTATATCGGGTTTCGACTCAACCGGGTTACGGG